AATGCCGAGCTCAGAAGCCAAATACACACACACACACACACACACACACACACACACACACACACACTCATAGCATAGCCAGGTGGATTGAATGCAATGCACTGCATCTATGTATTCTGGTAGCATCTCATTGATTTTGGTTTAAAATAGAAGGGAAGGTAGTGTCCCAAATGAGATATCTTTAACAGAAACCTGAGTTTAACTTTTATTAACTATATAATAATTGATATTGCCAATTACCATTCTGAATTTCATATAGTATAAGTTAGATATTGTTTCATCCTTTTTAAATGCATTTATATAAACTGAACCCTCAAATTGCTGGATATTTTAGGCTATATCCGACTTAAGTTTTTTCACCTCTTACATTCAAGTTAGCTTCTTCAGCCCAGATATCAAAACAGTGGAGGAAGAAATGAACTGTATTCCAGGGAATACTTCAAGGCTAAGTGAAAGCACAGAACTGTAGGCAAACAGGCTTGCAAAACAATATTAGTCATAACATCCTTAACAAGTCACAGGATTCTCTCTGTCAGCATGCATGTCAGCTGGCAAAGAATAGATCTGCATGAAAAAGTGCCCACATGCTGGCTGGATCTGGCCGCTTTGGCCAGCTGGATGCTGCTAGATTGTACTATTTAATGTCGAATTTTGACTTGTGGTAGACAGCTGTGCTGTGTGTCAGCATCCTCAGATGAGGGATGGGAAAAAAAAAAGACAAGGAAAAAACGCATTTGAGTGAAGAGAGAATGGAAGGGAAAGAAAGGAAACACAAAAGCTTGTTCCATGACAGGTGTGAGTTGCTATGGTACATACAATAATGTTAAGGACAGCCTCCAATAATCAAGTAAGTAGCCGACATGGGTGGCTAGCAGTGCTGAGACCTGGCTGCTCCATTGGAAGTTTGGAAACACAATTTATTTATGGAACAACTTTATATATCATAAAATGGTTTTACCATCTTATATTAAATGAACTGTTGACAGGCGTGCACTTTGTCCAGTGAGCACATACTATGTGGATTTTATATGCACATCTGTAGTGTGAATCCACTGGCACAGTGTGTGTAAATTCCAGATGTGGTGAGAGTTTCCCTTGTACAGGTCATCAGATAAAGCAACTCCTGACAGAAACTGTAAGGAAACCAGCAAAATGTTTGACCCAAAGATGGATGTTGTATGGTTTATGTTAAATATATATTCTTTTAATCACTGAAGAAAGCATTAAAAAGTGACCATTGTAATGTATTTTATTGTATATGAAACACAAACTGTCAATGTTTAAATAAAACTCTTTGGCTGCAGAGTTTAGAAAGCTTAAGTTTTTTTTTTTCACTTTGAGAAAATCCAAGCTTACAAACAGACTAAGTCAAGCATGTTCACACACTCCTATCATCCTAGTTCTTAGAGACAACAGGAAGATTGTAAATTGAAGGTCACTGTCTCAGTTACTTCTCTGTTGCAGTGAAAAGCACCATGACTAAGGCATCTTATAAAAGAATGTGGTTAATTGGGCTCACAGTTTCAGATGGTGGAAGAAAAGCAGGACACCAGCAGGAAAATCTGAGAACTCTTTTCTTCATCCACAAGTAGGAGGGAGGAAGAACTGAATATGGCACAGGGCTTTTGAAACCTCACAGTCCTATATCTTAGTAACTGTTCTATTGCTGTGTGAAATGACACCATGACCAAGGTAGCTCCTGTAAGTGGAAACATTTAACTGGGGGCTTGCTTACAGTCTTGGTGGCTTAGATAATTGTCAACATGTGAAAAGAAAGGCAGCATGCCAGCAGGGATGGTTCTGAAGAAGTAGCAGAGTTGCTTTTTTTTCATTTATCTATTTTATATAACCAAGTTCATTTAAATGAAAACAAACATTTATACACAATATTTGGGAATTTGGGCGTCATTCTTTCCAAACTACTTCCTACTGGTAAGGGGCACTGTCATGGGTGATTCGAAGAAGATGCAGAAATCCTGGCTGTAGTCTGTAAGTTTTGAATGTAGGATCACCTCATACTCTGTTTCAGGTGGTCTGGCTTGATCAACCCACATTAGTCTGGAAGGAATCCACATCTTTTTATTTTCTGTGGAAACAAAAATAGAAATCCTTTTCCCCCAGTAACTTGTCCTTGAACTTAAATTTTGGAGTCAAAGCATTTTTTAATTTAATTTATTATTTTACATATCAATCCCAGTTCCCTCTCCCTCCCTCCTTCCCTTCCTTCCTCCCTTCCTCCCTTTCTCCCTCCCTCTTCCCTCCCTTTTCTCTCTCTGCCCTCTCACATGCCCTCTAACCATCCTCTGCTCCCATACCCCCACCCCAATTCCATATGTAGGGGAATGCCATCCAGTTGGGGCCATGTAGGTCTGACAGGTCATGTGAAGTAGGGACTAGGGCTTCTCTCCTGCCTCTAGATTAAGGCAGTTATCCCAGTCCAAAAACTGGTGTTTCTATGTGAAATAAAAAATTTTATTTTAAAAATATATTCATGAATCTATATAAGTATGTCATATGATATCAATGCATGAATCTATATTTAAAAAGACAGTGGAAGGACAAAAGCCACATGGCAACATACTCTGAAGGGTTGTAAACATCACTTCCTAACAGATGTTTTCCATTGATTCAACCATTGTCTACTTTACTAAGTATTGTATACTGATTTTATGTTTTGTTTATGAAAGAAGATGAAGCAGAGATGGTTATTCTTATATCCTATAATTACACACTCACATTGCTCAAAAGTAATGCCCAATTCAATTTCATGAGCTTTCACCTGTCCCATTATCACTTCAATTAGTCTAAGTATAAGGGAAACTAAATGTCTTATCATGTCAGGCTCTTGTTTCAGGCTATGAACAAACTATGACAGCAAGAATCTGGGTCCCTAGGATTCACAGAGCAGGAGAACGACATTTAGTATGTGATTACTACAGGATTACTACAGGCCAGAATTAGCAATTAAATAATGAATTTGATTTCTTGAGCTGCAAATTTTAGGTCAGATATGGAACAATTTTGCATGTTTTTATGCCCAATGAAATTAATAGTATTTTGGGAATCAAAATTGCTAATACAAAGTAAAATACTGCTCCAGGGAGAGAAAGAAGAAAGTGGGTTTAAACAGAGATTTAAGGATGTCAAGTTTACAAAAATTTCAATATAAAACTTGATTGTAGATAAATATCAGTCATTAGTTCTTTTCAATTTGCTGAATCAAGAAATAAAATGGGAATGAAGAAGAAGATGTACATGTTGTAAAATTCTAATTAACAGAATAGAGGGAAACAGTGCATTCAGTACAAAGCTTTGCTTTCTGTCTGGAGCAGAAACACCTCCTGGTCACTGAATGTCCCCATTGCCACTAGGGAAACATTCCAGTCATAATCACACTGCTGTGCTAGAGAATGAGTTCTTATGCTGTTCCTTTACACTGAAGCAAAATATAACTGACCAGGTGAAAACCACTGGTTGAATACACCGATAGGAAATTCATTAGTTAGGTCTCACTCTCTATTCCTATCAGTATGCAAGACCAAGAACATGAACACCAGTCTGAAGATACTTGAACTCCCTACCTCAGAAAGAGGTATCTCAAAGTAGTTACATCATGGCAGCTCTCTCAATGCAGCCCATGGAAAACAGTCAATATCTTATATGTTAAGAATAAAATGACAGGCATGGTGGTTCACACCCTTAATTCCAGCACTCTATGGGCAAAATCAGGAATATCTCCAAAGTCAATGCCAGCCTGGTCATCACAGCAAGTACAAGGGACTACACACACAGACCCTATCTCTAAGAAGCAAGCAAACAAAATTAATCAATGTATAAATAGTTAAACTGAGAAAAGAGGAAATATATAAAAAGCCAGTCAGACTGACAGGAAGGGAATAGGGCTCTATGCCTACTGTGTGAGCTGAGAACCTCAGCTGTCACCAGAATGTACTGTAGAAAGATAATATTCCAGCTGTCAATTAATCACCATACATTGAGCATCAGAATAGGAATGCCTGTACCTACTTTTTCTCTCTCTCTCTGTCTCTCTCTCTCTGTCTCTCCCATCTCTTTCACCCATCACACACAGCATACACAAGCACACTTGTTTTTGAAGTGTTAAAACTCGTCAGTGAAATAAGTTAAAAAAAAAAAAAAAACCTGAAGTTAATCATTAGGCAATATTCTGGCTTCTTTAAACCATATGTAAGTTTTTAAAGTCTCTTATTCTTCATTTTTGGTCATTCATATCTAACTGCAAAAAGTAGGGTACATATTTTATAAGATAACCAAATCACAAAAACTACAAATGCTTTACATCTTTTTATATAATTTATGTCTGCAGATAGATGCATTGTTGTTCACTACTCCCATGTCTGATGAACCTATGCATGTCTGGTGTACTTGGAAGCAGAAGTGGCCACTGGATTCCTTAGATCTGGAGTGCTTTAAACCCCAATATGGATACTGAACTCTGGTTTGACGTAGCAGCCAGTCTTAACTACTGAGCCACCATCTCTCCAGCCATAGACATTTCCCCCTTGAACCACTGAATTATTGGTACAGTAAAAAAGACTAAATTATGGAATCATGTTTATGGAAACCTGGCTGGGTTTTTGGTTATTTATTTTGTTTTTTTTTGTTGTTGTTGTTGTTGTTGTTTTTGTTTTGTATAATCAATGCCAAACAAGATTATTTATTCAATTGAAATTTATTTTATTAAATATACATTACCTCTTCATTTGTCTAAAACCATAGCGAACACATTCCAGGTAAAGATACAAAGCATTCCCAGTTTAAGATAGACCAATAATAAAATTACATTTATAAAACTACCATAATTATGAATAGGTAGTCCACCCGAAAAATACTATACAGAATTAAATAAAATGGAAAAAATTACCAATAAGATTCAGAGTTAAATCATCCTTATTTACAAAATGCTATTCTGTTACCATTTGATTTGAGGAACAATATCATCACATAGGAACAGCAGTTACCTAAACTTCATCTAAAAAGAAAATGGATGCCGAGGAATCGGTCAGGTCTCCTCTGTCTCCAGATGTTCCAGTGCAGGCTGGAGGTTCTGGTGCAGGTTGACTGGAAGTAGGATTCAAGTCAGGAGAGAACTCATTTCTACTTTGAGATGTAAGAGTGGTGGAAGAACTCGAAACTTGGGGGAAGATAAGATGGAAATCCCCTTCATTTGCACACATTTCTCCCTGTTCCAAGAGACAGGAAAAAGACAGTGGGAGTTGAAACCCTGTGCTGCACCCTTGTTAAACCACTAGTTCCAGCCCTTATTCTGGTATCCAAACATTCATACCACAATATTTGATTTGCCAAATAAATCTTGACATTACATAATGGACATTTTAGCTACAAAGGACTAATAATAACATCACAAAAAATTTCAAGGGTGTTTGTTACTGGCAGCAATGCAAGATCTCAATACAGTGCAGACTTACTGGAAATAAGCTTTTCAATACATTAAAATTTGAAACTTAACATTCAGGTCATTGATCTCGACCTGATATCCTATTTGAAGCATTTCCTGTCATGCCAAGGACAACCTTAAATCCCTCCACCCCCAAAAAAAAAGCCTCATGGCATGCTCATAGAAACTTAAGACTAAAGGTGAGGGCACAGAGCAGACAACTAGGACAACTAAGCTAGTTCTTGTCTAGTATTGGAAATATGATTTTCTGTGTGGAAACATGTGATTCCAAAGGGGGAAATTATACTGTAAAATCAATAAATTACTTTTATTTTAAAATGTAAGGGTTGGAAAGAATTTCAAAAAATTCAATAAATGACTAAATATGATCTTAGATTTTGATTAGGATCATGTGGGAACCACTACTTAGGAGACATACTTAATACTTTAAAACAATTTAGCCAGTAATCATAAGACAAACATCTAAGTAATTATTTTAAATATTTTTTTATTTTAAATATTTTAAATATACTCTTATATTACATGAAGTACACATATACTTAACATTAAAAATGCTTGTAACTGAACATTGGTGGCACAGGCCTTTAATCCCAGTATTTGGGAAGCACAAACTAGCTTTCCAGTTAAGGCTCCAAAGCTATAGGGAAACCCAGCCTTGGGGAGAAAAACAAAGCAAAACAAAAACCTGCTTATACATTCAATGATCTTTTAACCTATCATATTACAGTTAAAATTCAAATTCAAATTTGCCTAATATTGATCAAGGTGAAGCTTTTACTTCCTTTGATGCTGGACAGTAACCTGTGAGCCATATAAACCCTGTCCCTCTCAAGTTGGTTCTGGCTAGTGTTTCTCCCTGTAAAAGGAACCTAACTTGATGGAAAGCACAGATAAGCACTGACACAAACACAGACCTTTAAAGAAAGCCTACATGGCATTGGAAGAAACTGCAGGCCTTCAATATCCCTTATTGGGACATACTGTTGAGGATCTGCACAGGTGTTTCCTGGTGGAGGACTTGGTGGGATCTGTCCTCTAGGATCACCTGGTAAGGCAGGGCCTCCAGGGCCTCTAACCTTGGGAACAAGTGGAGGAATCAAGCCATGGCCAGCTGGTTGGCATTCAGCAGGGACATAGTTGGGCACACTTGCCTTCTGTAACAGAGAAACAATCAGCAGTAAGTAAAGACATTTCATTAACAGCTCCTTTCCTGGGTGTGTAAGGCATAGAAGAAAGCAGTCCATTACATTCTAGAAAGGCTGGGGATAGGCTCAGTATCCCACAAAGGTGCAGGAGCTGCTTATTTGTTATTCTAAGTAGTTTTACTGACTTCACTCTCTCCACACCTCTTCCATCTTGTAGTTGAAGTTCTAGCTAAGGCATTAAGACAACAAAAGAAGATCCACGGAATACAAATTAAAAGTAACAAATCAAACTTTCACTATTTGCAGATGATATGACAGGTTACATCAGGGAATACCTACCACTGATAGACACCTTTACCAAAGTGGCAGGATACAAAATTAACTAAACATATAAAAAAATTAATCACTAACCCTACTATATACATATGATAAAGGGGCTGAGAAAGGAATCACAGAAACATCTCTTTTTTTTTTTTTTTTGCATTATCCAAGAAAACATAAAATAGCTTGGGGTAATGTCAACCAAACAAGTGAATAACTTATTTAATAAGAATTTTGAATCTTTAAAGAAAAAAAATTAAAGAAGATACCAGAAAATGGGAATATCTCTCATGCTTTTGGATAGGTAGGATCAACATAGTAAAAATAGTAGTCTTTCCAAAAGTAATCAACAGATTCAATGCAATCCCTATCATAAACCCCAGCACAATTCTTCACAACCTTGAAAGAACAATAGTTCTTCCTATGGAAAAACAGTAGACCCAGGGTAGGCTAGACAACGTTGTATAATAAAGGAACTTCTTTCTGGAGGCATCACTTTCCCTTTCTTCAAGCTCTACTGTAGAGCTATAGTCCTGAAAACAGTTTGGAACTGTCACAAAAATGGATAGGAAGACCAATGGAATCAAATTTAAAACACTGATATTAACTCATACATCTACCAATACCTGATTTTTGACAAAGCAGCTAAAGTTATACAATGGAATATAAAAAGCATTTTCAACAAATTGTGCTGGCATAACTGGAGGCTGACCTGTAGAAGACTCCAGATCACCATACATAATACTTAAGTCTAAATATATCAAAGAAAGACCTCACCATAAATCCAGCCACATTGAACCTCCCAGAAGAGAAAGGGGGAGGTATCCATGAAAAAAATTGGTACAGGAGCCTGCTTCCTGAACATAACTCCAGTACCACAGACTCTGAGATCAACAATTAATAAATGAAATCTCTTGAAATTGAAAAGCTTCTTTAAGACAAAGAACACAGTCAACAAGACAAAATGGCAGCCCACACAATGGGAAAAGATCTTCAACAACCCCACATCTGACAGAGGGCTGATTTCCACAATGACAAAGAACTCAAGAAGCTAGGTACCAAAACACCAAATATTCTAATTAAAAAGTATGGTACAGAACTAAATAGAGACACCTAAGAATGTGTTCAAAATCCTCAGACACCAGGGAAATGCAAATCAAAAAACTCTGAGATATCATCTTACTCCTGTCAGAATAGCTAAATACAAAAACACAAATGACAGTTTATGCTGGAGAGGATATGGAGACTGTAGTAAATTCTTCCACTGCTGGTGGGAGTGCAAACTCGTACAGACATTTTGGAAATCAGTATGGTGGTTCCTCAGAAAAATGGGAATCAGTGTACCTCAAGTTTCAGTAATTCCACTCTTAGGCATATACCCAAAATATGCACACTCATACAACAAGGACATCTGTTCAACTATGTTCATTGAAGCATTATTTGCTCAACTGAAGAATGGATGGAGAAAATGTGGTACATTTAAAGAATGAAATACTATTCAGAGGGAATAAACAATGTAATCTGGAAATTTGCTGGCAAATGGAAGGAACTAGATGGAACCATCCTGAATGAGGTAACCCGGTCACAAAATGACAAACATGGTATGTACTCACTCATATATGGCTTTTGGACAGAGCAAAGGATGGCCAGCCGACAATCCACAATGCCAGAGAAGCTAGGAGACAAGGCGGACCCTCAGAGAGACATACATGTTGCCGTGGAGAAGGAGAAATGGGCAAGATCTCCCTAGAAAATTGGGAGAATTGTGGATGGTGGGAGTTAGGGAGAAAATGATGAGAGAGGTAGGCATGATGGAACAGGAAGATTGAGTTAGGGAAAGAATAGGGGAGAGCAAGAAAGGAGACATTATAATAGAGGGAACCATAACAGGTTTTAAGAGAAATCTGGCACTAGGGAAATGCCAAGAGATCTATAAGAATGACCCCAACTCACAATGTGAGCAACAGTGGAAAGGCTACCATAAATGCCTTACCTTGGTAATGAGATTGATAACTAACTTATGCCATCATAGAACCCTCATCTAGTAGCTGATGGAAACAGAAGCAGTACCCACAGATAAACACTGAGCCAAACTCCTAGAATGCAGTTGCAGAGAGGGAGGGATGTTGAGACAAGGAGTGAAGGTCAGGGTACAGAAACTCACTGAGGCAGCCTACCTGAACAAGGGGAAACACATGTACCCAAAACTGATAACTGGGTAATCAGCATTGGACCGACTTAGACCTCTAGAATGTGGGACTCAGGTAGAAGGCCCCGTAAGTCTAAGGGGCTTCTGTCAGTGGAACCAGGATGTATCCCTGGTGCACAAAAGGTCTTTGGGTCCACATTCTCCATGGAAAAATATTCACTTACCCTAGAGCCAGGAGGGAGGGCCTAGTCCCTACTTCAAATAATTTGACAGATTTAGATGATCCCACCTGGAAGGCATCACCCTCCCAGTGGAGGGTTACGGGAATAGGATGGGAAGGTTCCCAAGGGGGCATGGGAGAGAGAAGGATCAGGGATCAGTATCTAAAACAAGAAAAAATAATAAATATAACTAAAAAAAGATTCAAATAAGATTTCAAGGGAGAAAATCTGAAATCGTGTACAGCATCTAAACAAGCTTTGAATTTCATGTAAATGTTGTACTTCTTTTAGGGCGATATATTGGGCTTCTTTCTGTTTTTTATCTTAATATTTTTTTTCATTAACAGGAATGGGTGTTTTCCTACATGTATATCTTCATACTATATACATTCAGTTTTCTGGAAGGATACAATAAGCCTTCAGATCCCTTGAAACAGGAGGTAAGAAGGTGCTGGCAATTAAACCCAAGTTCTTTAGGAGAGCAGCCAGGGCTCTTAACCTGTAAGCCATTTAGCAAGCCTATGTGGATTTTTGAGACAAGATCTGCTCATAAGGCCCACACTGGCTTTTAATTTACCATCTTTCTGATGTAGCCTGCCAAAATGCATGGATTACATGGACCATCAAAATTTGTCTTGTGATCTGTACTATTTCGCAGAAGGTTACAAGCCAACAATGAGAATGTTAACTCTAAGTACAGGTATATTATATTAATATCATAATATCACAAAGTAGAAGAGCTCTCACCTTGTTCTAATAAAACAGAGAAACTAGTTGTGGATTCTTGGGTAGAATTCAGTTTCCAATACTTACCCCAGGGTCTGTTTTGGTGGCATTCTTCTTGTATTCCAACGTGGAGGATGCTGGCCTATCTAGACAGGAAAATCAAATCAGGAGAACTTCATGAGTTCTCACTTTATCCCACGACTGTTTCCAGATCCAAGTGACCCTGACATGTTCCACTCCCCCTGGCCAGTACAGAGAACAACTGGACACAAATACAATAGTATTCCTCATTAGGGTCCCCAAAGCACCATGAGAACCTTGGAAATTTCAATAGGACAAAAGAACATTCGTTTGCAGTGTGCTGGTGACCTTTCCAACAGGCTCTTAGGTAATCGGACTGAGGTAGCCTAAGCGAAGAACTCAGGATGAAGCATCTGCTTCCTCTGTCTATGTGTGACAGCCCTTAAAATATATTTTTGTTAAAAAGTACCCTTATAGATAACAAATACACAATGAAAATTTAAATGGTTTCATTTTATACTTAATGTGATTTTCTGTCATACCTACAGTAGATACACATCTTTCCCACCTTCAGAGGGTAGTGAGTGATAATTGAAGAGGTCCTGGGAGATTCACTCAACTAAATGAAAAATGATTAAATAAGCTAACTAATAAAGAACATGAAACCAAAAAATTTTACTGGTTGTCTTACACAAATCAACTGACATTTTCCTGGCTAAAATCTTTCACTACTACACTGGATATAAATAAATGGTTTAAAAAGTTGAGAAGTAAAAAAAAATCAAAAAAAAAGTTGAGAAGTTTGCTATTGAAAAGAGTAAAGTTTGTATTACAACCCTTGAAGGAAACCCTTCAAATGGCAACAAAACTAACCTTAACACATTCATTAGATGACATACATGAAACATGACACAACAAGAAAGGGCTAGAGAAATGTGTTTACAGGGTAATGTTATGGGCTGCTCTTCCTTAGGACTTATGCTTAATAGCAAGCCACTACACAGCAGCACACAACTATCTGTAACTCCACTTCCTGGGGCACTGATGCCCTATTATGGCATTCTGTGGAATCAAACACACATGTAATACACAGAAATCAGATGGTAGAGATGACAGATTAATGGGATACCTACCAAAGAAAGGTGCTAACGGGGAATACAACCAGGCCAAAGGAGAGAAGTGACTTATAGTGAACTGCAATGTGGATGTTGTCAAGGAAAAGAATATAAAGCTATGACAACTGAAATGGTACTTGTCTATTACTTGAGTAACCAAAGGGGACATTACGATGTAAAACCAAAAATTATTTTTATTTAACAATGTAAGTATATAAAAAAATTTCAAGGACTTCAAAAATAATTATGTTGGAGAGGATGTGGAGGAAGGGGAACACTCATCCACTAATGGTGGGAGTGCACACTTGTACAGCCATTTTGGAGATGACTATGTTGGTTCCGCAGGAAAATGGGAATCAGTTTACCACAGATCCGGCAATGCCACTCTTAGGCATATACCCAAATGATTTACATCCATGAAACAAAGACATGTGCTCAACTATGTTCATAGCAGCATTATTTGCAATAGCAAGAACCTGGAAGCAATCTAGATGCCCCTCAACTGAAGAATGGATAGAGAAGATGTGGCACATTTACACAATGGAATACTACTTTACAGGAAAAAAAAACCAATGGAATCTTGAAATTCACAGGCAAGTGAATGGAACTTGAAGAAACCATCCTGAATGAGGTAACCCAGTCACAAAAAGAGGAACATGATATGAACTCACTCATATATGGAATTTAGACATACAGTAAAGGATCACCAGCCTATAATACACACCTCCAGAGAAACTAGGATACAAGGAGGATTCTAAGAGATTCATTTAATGTCCGTCAGAGAAGGTGAAAGGGACAATGTCTCTGAGCATTTTGGAAGTGGGGGGACAACAGTGAGTGTAGAGGGAGCTAGGAGAAAGAGAAGGGGAGGACAGGAAAGCACGTGGGACTTGGAAGATTGAGTCAGAGGAGCAATAGACAAGAGAGGAGAGAGAGAGAGAGAGAGAGAGAGAGAGAGAGAGAGAGAGAGAGAGAGAGAGAGAGAGAGAGAACCATAAAAGAGGGAGCCATTAAAGGTTTGAAGAGAAAACTGACTCTAGAGAAATATCCAGTGACCTACAAGACTGACCTCAACTAACAATTTGAGCAACAATGGAAAGGCTACCATAAATGCCATTTCATGATAAGGAGATCAACGACTAACTTATCATCCATCATGGAGCCCTCATCTAGTAGCTGATGGAAACAGAAGCAGACACCCACATTTAAACACTAAGTTGAACTGGAATCTAATGCAGAGAGGGAGGACAAGACCAGACATCAGAAACACACAGAGACAGCTGACCTGAACAAGGAGGAGCTAATGGGCCCCAGACTGATAGCTAGGAATCCATCATGGGACTGAATCAGACAGCCTGAACATGGGTCTCAGTTGGAAGGCCTGGGCAATCTAAAGGACCTTGGTCAGAGGAACCAGGATGTATACCTGGTGCACAAATGGACTTTGGGAGCATATTCCTTTAATCTGGAGGCAGAAGGGGAAGCCTATTCCCTACTCTAAATGACTTGACAGATTTAGGTGACCCTTCCTGGAATGCATCACCCTACATACATGTGGAGTGGGGTGGTGGGAGTGGAGGGTGGTCTGAGGAGATGGGAGAATGGGAGAGAGGCAAAGAGCAAGTGAGGGAGAGGGAACTGGGGTTGATATGTAAAATAAAGAAAGAAACAAACAAACAAATAAAAATTGTATATCTCCCTCTTTAAAAAAAATTAAAATATAATCATGTGGGAACTGCTATTCAGGAGTAATACTTGAAACCACTTTTAAATAACTTTTAGAAAACATATAACTAATTATTCAAATAATGGCCCCAATGCATTTCTATGAAATGAAACACACATAATTAAAATCTAAAAACTACTTGCATCTGGGCATTGTTGATACAGGCATTTAATCCCAACACTTGGGAAGCAGAGAGATGTGGATTTCTGTGAATTCATGGCTAGTCTGTTCTACTGAGTGAGTTCCAGGGCAGGCTTCCAACATATACAAAAACTTTGCCTTGGGGAGAATAAAACAATCAAACAAAAATACCCCACAAACAGTCTGTACATTTACTGATCTTCTGGCCTATCACAGCACAGTTCAAATTCAATGTTCCCTATGGTGGATCAAGGTGAAACCTTGACTTACTTTGTTGATGGAATGTATCTTTGAACCATGAAAACTGTTTCCCCCTCAAGTTGGTTCTGGCCAGTATTTCTCCCAGTAACAGAAACCAAACTTGAATAAAAGAACAGATAAACATTGACACATGCAGAGACCTTTAAAAATGCCTACCTGGCACTGGAGAGAAAGGTGGGCCTGCAAAGTCCCTGGGTGTGATATACTGTCCGGAATCTCCACAGATGTTTCCAGGAGGAGGTGGAGGCAGGATTGGGCCTCTTGGATTCCCTGGAAAGGCAGGGCCTCTAGGACTTCTGACCAAAGGATCCAGTGGAGGAATCACGTCATGACCAACCGCATTGCATTCAGGAGGACTAGAGTTAGGCAAAGGTGCCTTCTGTAACAGAGTCACAATCAACAGTAAGTGAAGCTTCTTGATTCATAGCTCCTTTCCTGTGAGTGTAGGAATTATAGAAAGCCTGGGAACAGGCTGAATTTTCCTCATGTGTGTGAGAGCCACTTATTCACAGTCAGAAGTAGTTTTACTATCTCAACAGAAAGCTTTATGGATGGAACTAATCATCTACCTAGCTCCACCACAAACACAAATACAGTAAAAGCAGATCAAAACAGACACTTTTAAAAACAGATATACACCAGGATATGTTGGCACAGGCCATAAATCTCAGAATTTGTCTATTAGAGAAAGGTGGATATCTGTCAGAATGAGGGTGTCTGGTCAACAGAGTGAGTTCCAGGACTGACTCAAGATCTACTGGGATATCCTATCTCTAGGAAAAAACAACAAACAACAACAACAAAACCCCCCAAAACATAGAACTTTTATCAAACATAGATGCAAAAGGAAAATGTTTAACATGTTGGTGATTTCAAAATGATCCAAATTAATTTTATATTTGAATAATGAAATACATGTTTAGATTCAAATAAGATTCAAGGAAGAAAATCTGAAATAGTAGACAGCACATATACAAGCTTTGAAGTTCTTCTAAAACTTGCACTTCTTTAAGTAGGAGATATCAAGTTTTTTTTTTTTCTCTTTTTTTTTTTTTTTTTGTATATTTTTAATGCCAAAGAAATGGGTGTCTTGCTTGCATGTATATCTGCATTCATTGTTAAATTTTTGATTGTGAGCCTTGCCTTTAATGGCTGAGCCATCTCTCCAGCCCTATAAACTCATTGTGAAAGAATGATAGGATAGGGATTCAGATCCCTTGAATTGGAGGTAAGGATTGTCTGCCTGAAATCATGTGCTGGGATTCAAACCCAGCTCCTATGGGAGAGCAGCCAGTGCTATTAACCTGTTAGCCATTTCTCCAGCTCAGTAGTTTTTTGATTCACAATCTATGCATATTGGCTACACTGGCTTTGAATGTACCATACTCCTGCCTCATGATGTGGGAGTTGGAAAAAACTCGAATCTTGTGGTGAGGTAAGATGGAAATGCCCTGGGTTCAGTCACATTTCTCATGTTCCAAGAGATGGGTAAAGGACAGCTTAAGTTCAAAGCCCAAATACAAAACCAAAATCTTCAGCACTTGTACTGATATCCCATCACTCAGACATTACTTGATCTAAGAAATAAATCTTGACATTGAAAAAAAACATTCTTAGCTACATAGGACTAATAAGAAAGAATGTCTCCAGCAATTTTAGGTACATTTTACCTATTTTGGCAGCTATGCAAGATCTCAATACATTGGAGACTTACTGTAAAATAGATTTTCAATGGAGTAAATCTCAAAGACTTAACATTCCCATTATGATCCTGACCTGATATCCTACAAGATATATTTCCTGTGTTGCCAATGAAATAAATTCCCTCCAAAATTCTCATATCATTCTCCTAGCAGGTTAAGAGTAGTTGCCATGGCAAAGTACAGACACTTAGGACAACTGAGATGGTTCTAGTCTAGTACTTGAACACTTGATTTACCGTATAGGAACATGTGAAGCAAAAGAGAAAATTATGCTGTATAAACAACAAATAACTGTTATTTTCAATTGTAAAGGCTGGAAAGAAGTTGAGGAATTCAACAAATTCAGTGAGGTCCATGACTGGCACCATATCTAATGGGAACACTATCTCTAGTTAAAACAAAGAAAAAGAAAAAAAAAAAAAGAAAAGAAAAGAAAGCAGACACGTTTTAATCGAACACACACACACACACACACACACACACACACAGGAAAATGATTGATATGTGGACATTTATAAAATGACAAAGTCATTTGAAAAGTAAAATACATACATATTAATATTCAAATAAGATTCCAAGAATTTATGAAATAGTGTAAAGCAAGTAAACAAGCTTGGAAGTTCATGTAAAAGTTGAACTTCTTGAATGGGAGATATCTGGTTTCTTTTTCTTGTTGGATTATTTTAGTGTTTTTTTTTTTTTCATTTCACAGATATGGTATATTTGCCTGTATGTATGTCTGCATACTATAGTCATTCAGTGTTCTGTAAGGATAGAATATGCAAATCCCTTGGAGGTAAGATGGATTGTGAGCCACCACTCCAAGCTTGGAAATTAAACCTAGGTCCTGTATAAAAGGAGACATTGCATTTAACTGGAATGCCATTTCTCAAGTCTGTGTGGTTTAATGAGGCATATTCTGCATATATAGCCCACACTGGATTATATATTCCCATCCTACTGCCTCACTCTGGAAACTGCTGGGATCACATGTACCATCAAACAAAGGCTAGTGAGCTAAACAATTTCACATAAGGTTACAGACCAACAAAGAAAGTTAATGCTAAGTGCAAGTATATTTAACTCAAGCCTTGCTCTAAAATAAACAAGAAACTAGGTGTGCATCCACGGGTAGAATTCAATGTTCAGTATTTACGTTAGGATGATGTTTGTTGGCATTCTTCCCAGAATACAATGTGCAGGATAAATACATATATAATAGGTAAAATACATACATAATAGGATCCCAAAAAGATTTCAAGAAAGAAAATCTGAAAGAGGGTACTGAAAGTAAACAAGCTTGGAATTCATCTAAAAGTGTACTACTTGAAGTATTCAATATCAGGTTTATTTCTCTTCTTTGCTTATTTTAGGATATTTTTTATTTCAGAGACATGGGAATTTGCCTGCATTTATTTCAACATATTGTATCCATTCAATATTCTGGAAATATATGATAGGGCATCATATCCCATGAACAGGAATTAAGAAGGATGGTCATCAACTACACAGGAGTGGGGAGTTAAACCCATGTCCTGTAGGAGAGCCAGCCAGTGGTCTTAAAAGTGTAAGCCATTTCTCTACTCTAGGTTAATTTTTTGAGGCAAATTGTCTTAAATAACCCAGACTGGCTTGAAATTCCCCTCCTCCTGGGTCAGCCAGCAAATTGCAAGGAACGCATGGACCATCAAATTCTGGCTTGTATTCTGTAAAATTTCACAGAAAGTTACAAGCCAACAATGAAAGTGTTACAGATAATTGAAAGTATATTTAATTAATATCACGTATGAAACAACTCTAACCTTGTTCTAATAAAATAAGAAACCAGTTGTTGATCTATAGGTAGAATACAATTTCTAATACTTACCACAGGGTCATGTTTGGTGGCACTGCTACCAGATTCCAATGTGGAAGTGACTGGTGCATCTAGACCAAAAAATGAAACCAGTGAAACTCATGAATTCTTACATTATTCCCAGATCATTTCCAGATCAAAATGACAGTGACTTGTTCCACTCCCCTTGCTGGGACACAGAACAGGTCGACACGAAGCAGCCCCAGACTTAGACAAAATTCAAAATTACAGACATACTTTTGTGGTATGTGGCTGATGCATCCAAATGACACTTGGCAAACTTGACCAGTCACCTTAAATGACCAAATTCGTATACAGCATGGACTTCCCGTTTTCCAGGTGTGCCAACCTTTCCCTCAGTACATATGATATATTTCAGTTTATAGGTACCCTTATAGATAATGCAACAATTACACAATGAATATTGAAATTTCTGAATTTTATTATTTCTTAATATTAGTTACTATAATATCTATAGTAGATAAACATCATTCCCTACATTAGTGAATAGTTAGTGATAGCTGAAGACATCTTGAAGGAATCAATCGACTGTATATAAAAATATTAAATTAGATAATTAATTAAGAACAAGAACACAAATTGTTTTACTGGTAGTCTTTTACATATCCATTGATATTTGCCTGCCTAATGTCCTTGTGTGGTAAACAGGATCTATCTAAATGCCTTAAAAAGAATGATGGAAGCTATGGAAGAGTAAGTTTGTATTATGACCAGATACAGGAAACCCTTCCTCTTGCATCAAAGCCAAACTTCAACACATACATTGGATTACAAGCCAAAAATATTAGACAAAATAAAGTTCTGGGAAAATGGCTTAAGTGGTGATGGGTATAGTAAATCATTACTATACCATCAAAACTAACCTTACACATACACACACACATTAGCTGACACACCTATATCTTTCACAACATGAATATTGTGGTCAAATGGTCAAGGGAACAGTCTACTCTTCCTTAGGACCCGTGCTTGGTTCACAGAAACTACACAGCAGCTGACAGCCATTGGTATCTGCAATTCCAGGGTCTCTGAAGGCTTCTTTGGTCCTTCACATGCCTCACACATGAATGTGATATGCAGAAAGAAGATAGAAGCATTGCCAAATTCATGGGATAACTGCCAAGGAGGGCTGCTAACAGGGCGTACTACCAGCCAAAAACAGAAAAATGCCTTGCACTGAATCTCTATGAAGATGCTGAGAACAAAGCCCAAGTCCTCAGTTCTGCTAGATGAGCCAGTATTAACCAGTCACCTACTACTTCTCCAGCCACAGATTCTTCCCTCTGGAAGCACAGAGTAAAATGTCGTCATTATGGAATCATGTTGATGGGGCACTGGCTGGGTTTAATATCAACACTGCCAAATATGACTATACCTCAATTACAATTTGACTATAGCTGTAGATACCAATACGTTTGTCTATAACCATATGTTTCTACACATTCCTGGTCTAAAAACTTTTAGAGTAGTGGTGAAGATATCCCCAATAGGGAGACTGAATGCATATCTACCAGGATATTATTAAACATAATAATCCAATTAAAAGATACTATCAATATTGAAATCAAAGGGAAATAACTTACTCATATGATTAGTATTCATATCACACGTACTTTTTAAAAAATAATCTGAAATTCTAATTGCATTATTCTTCCAGCTGAGCACCAGGAGCAGTACAGAAGGAACATCAGTCGCCTAAACAGCCAATTAGAAGAACTGATTGCCATGGAAAGTGCCATGTCTACTTGTGTTTCAGGAGGTCCCTGCAAGTGCAGTTTGTAGGTTCCGGTGCTGGCTGTTGGGAAGGGCGAATGAAGTCTGGAGGGGGCTCATATATACTATCATGTTGTGTAAGTGGGGCCATTGTGCTTCTTTGGGCAAGGTAAGATGGAATGCGACTCAGCACCTCCACGTTTCTAAGGATCCAATATTTAGGAGAAGGACAGTGAAGTTGAACCCATTTACGTTTCACTTATTCAACCAAAATCTCCAGACCCTATATTTGATCTGCCCGATTCAAAAGCACAATATATAATCAAACAAATATATCTTAAGTGGGTTACGTACTTGTTCAGTACATAGCATTAATAAGTTCTAAAATCACTAACACTTCCAGGGGTATTTGTAATATCTAAAGAGATATATGAGATCTCAGTGCACTGAAGTCTTACTGCAAAAGAGCTCTTCAATGGAGTAAACTTTCAGAATTCACATTCCTATCGTGACACGAACCTGACTTCCTAAACGTGAAATTCCCTGTAATGTCAGAGAAAGGACTTGCACCCTAAAAAAGGCATAACTTTCACCTAGGAGCATACAACTAGAGGCCATGGAAGAGAGGACACCTAGGAGCACTGATTGGTTCTTCTTCTTTATGTTATAGACACATGGATACATGATTCACAGGAACAAAATATTAAATGTATTTTAGATTTTAAACATGATTGGGTGGGAACAATGATATTGGAGAAAACTTTGAAGTAATTGACTCCTGAATTTCTAGCCAAAACATAGAGACATTACATGCTGTATTGGCCTCGATACATTCTCATCAATGAAGACACAGAAATTTAATCTGAAAACGGTTTGCAGATGGGCATGCGTGGCCCAGGAATTTACTCTCCACAAGTGGGAATCAAATATATGTGGATATCTATGGTTTTAGAGAGGCCTGATAAATAGAAAATTCCAGGACAGTCTCACCAAGTGAGGTGTAGAGAAAAAAGAAAAACAGACAATAAAAACACCTAGGAATAAAATATATGTGGATATCTATGATGTTAGGGAGGCCTGATGAACAGAAAATTGGGGGAAAGGCTCACCATATAGGGTGGGGAAAAAAAAAAGAAAAACAGACAATAAAAACAGACACAACTTGGAAATTTACTGTTCTTCTGGCCTGTCAGAAAACAATTTATTTTCAAAATTACATAATGTGTATCAAGGTGAAGCCTTGACATCATAGACTGTTTGACTGTAAACTGAGGGCCCTCATGAACTTTTCCTTATCCAGTTGGTTTTGGGAACTGTTTCTAACAGAATCAAGAAAACACTTTATGTTAAGCACAGATCAACATTCAAAAATACTCAGACTTTTAAAACAAAACCTACCTGGCATAGGAGGAAACGGTGGTCCCACAAAGTCCCCTGGTGGGAAATACCATCCAGGACCTCCACAGACGATTCCTGGAGGAGGAGGTGGTGGGATCTGGCCTCTTGGATCAACTGTAAGGGCAGGGCCCTCAGGTCCTCTAAACTCAGAACCAAGTGGAGGAGTCAATTCATGTCCAGCTGCATCATGTGCATCATGGCCAGAGGTGGGCAAACGTGTCTCCTGGAACAGAGTGACAATAAGCTGTCAGTGAGGTAGTTTGCTTCACTATTCCTTTACTGGGATTGTCAGGCACAAAAGAAAGCATTCCATGACATTCTAGCAAGCCATATAACAGCCCCAGATTGCGACTTGTGTGCAGGTGCCGCCTACTCGCTATCCTAACTAGGTTTACTAGTTCAGCACAAATCGTTAAACATTGCAGTGACACTCTCCCTAGCTCACCCTCAAACAAAAACACAGTTCTTGCTGATTTAGATAGACAGACACTTTTTGGAACAGATATGCACCAGGAGGTAGGTAGAGACAATGGCCTTGAATATATGAACTCCCATTCAGATATTGGTATAGTTCTGTCAGTATGTGGCCAAATGGTCAATACAGTGGGATCGAAGATTGGAAGCATCTCTAATGGAAAAACCTATCTGGAATCGAAAAATAACGACGGTTTTTATCAGACACACACAAATAGGAAAACTCTTGAGTTGAGCATATTTCCACAATGAAAAAAATCAAGGCTGTGTGTTAAAAGTAAAATAGATACATATTAAGATTCAAGTAACATTTGCAGGACAGAAGTCTGAAAAAGAGCATTGCAATTGACCAAGTGTTGAATGTCATCTAAAAGTGTTAAAAGTTGAAGTGGGAGTTATCAGTTTTTTTTTATTATTATTATTTTTCTCTTGTTTTTGTCAGCATTTTTTTTTTCATTTCACAGTATGGGCATTTTTGACTCCATGTATGTCTGCATACTATTTTCACTCACTGATCTTGAAGGGCAGAATAGGACATCAGATCCCTTGAAATGGAGTTAAGATGGGTGGTGAGCCACCACAGAGTTTCTGGGAATCAAAACCAGGTCCTTCAAAAGAGCAGCGAATGCTTTTAATAGTGTATGCCTTTTCAGTCCTACCAGGTTTTCAAGGCACATTCTGTCCATATAGCCCACGCAGGCTTTGAAAATGCCATGCTCCTGCCTGAATCTGCAAAATGCTGGGAACACGTGGGCCATCAATCCCTGGCCCGTGATCTGTATGATTTCACAGAAGGTTACAGGTCAACAATGAGTGGTGATGCTAGGTCTAAGTATACTTAATAAATATCACAACGCACAAGAGCTCAAGTCTTGTTCTAATGAAACCTAGAAACTCCTTGTGGATCCACGGGTAGATGTCAATTTCCACAACTTACCACGGGGTCGTGTTTGGTGGCACTCTTCCCGGACTCCAATGTTGAGTACACTGGCTCACCTAGAAGTTAAACCAGGAAAATTCATGAGTTCTCCCTTTATTTTCAGGAGGTTTCCCAATCCAAATACCACTGACATGTCCCATTCCCCTTGTCGGGATAGAATACAGGGCGACAGGAATACGATAGCAATGCTCATCACGGTGACAAAAGCAGCCTCAGACTTGGGAGAATTTCGATAGAACACATATGGTTTTGAAGTGTGCTGGTGACATGTACAGCTGGCTCTTAGGCAATCTTGCTTATTAGCCTTAAAGAACAACTAGAGATTCAGCATTCACATCCTGTCTGCATAGTATGCCAACCTTTCCATCAGGACTGGACGGGCACTGTTATGGTCGAGAACCCTTACAAGTGACTCAACAAACATATAATGAAAAGTTCAATTTCTTAATATTATGTTTGGTTTATGTCCATTGCATTTATAACTACAACAGAAACACACCTTTCCTGCTTCAGTGTATAATGAGT